GGACGTGTGCCCATATTTATGGGAATTGAAAATCGTGCGATGGATTGGTCATCGCAAGGATTCAGAACAAATTTTATCCACTCAGCCCTTTAAGAAGGTGAAGCTGAGGTCCCAACGTCAACATCAAATAGTTTTGCGTCTACTGTCGTCAGTCAACAATCCGACACCAAACGTTTTTGCATTCAGAAACTCCATCTATAAGACCTCCTTATCCAATGCTTCATTTCCGCTCTTTCGATCCGGTATTGCGACACTTGGCACTCTGTTCATGTGCAGATCCCCATCTTCATCCAAACCAAGTTCTGTGCCCTCCTTGCTACTGCCATCGCCCACGTCACACATTTCGTATGCATCCGCAGGTGGTGGAGGTGGCGGGGGAGGCGGAGGCGATAAGGACCTCTGTCGCTTTCCCATGGAGGAAGAGTCACTCTTATATCCATCACCATTTTCTTGCTCTTCCCGCTCGAGTTTAGAGCGTTCCTCGGCACCATCCTTGCCTGGAGTTAATTCTGAATCTGGTAGAGGCGGAGTGGCTGATTTTGTCCTTTTACAAGGGGAAGCGGCCCTACTATCGATATCCGCATCGAGGCTGCTATCAGCACCCCTCTTCCGCTTGAGGCTATTTTCGTCGACGCTCATTGGTGAAGATTTCTTATCTTCCACCTTGTCCATCTCGTCATCTGACATTTTTAAATCATCTTCGACGTCGCTTTCATCCTCCCTTTTGATGTCCTGTGTTTCCTGTGATAGCAACAACTCAGGATTCTTGACCTCGTCCTTTGAGTCTTCGGTTGTAGACTTGACGGCATCCCTCGCTTTCTTTTCTGCCTTTTTCTTTTCGTAGGCTCGTTGCTTCACAACCGCTTTATCAAAGTACTCTTTGCAGTACTTTTTGATTTGTTTGACTTGTTTGTCGCTGACTTTTGTTGGGTCGCTCACACGGTTGTTTTTGAAATCAGAGTTCACAAGTTTTTTCCCCACCTAAACACCATATATTAGCTCAGTAAAGCGTAAAGTACGTAGGTTCTTAAGTCCATACCTCTTTCGCATAGCGTTTTAGGTCCTCTTTTGGTAGCTTGTGTTTAAACTTATCCACAACGTATTTGACATGAGGAAAGATCTTTAAATAACAAGTTAGTCTAGTCACAGCGCAGCAAAAGCTTTGACGTAAAACACATACTGTATTCTCATAGAGTTTCTTTTGCTTTTCTTCACTGTATGATCGCCACTTTTCCTTGTGTTCTTTTTTCTCTGGAGCTTTTGCATCTCTGAGTGTGGAGGTAGTAGGGGTCTCCGACCTATCCTGCGTTTTTGGGGTGTTCTCTTTCGCGTTCATGATACCATCAATAATATCCTGCAATGCTTTGTCCTTAGATTCGGGTTTTGGTGGTGGGGGTGGTTGTGCAGCGGGAGTTGTTGGCCGTTTCCATGTCGTGGCACCTGAGGCAGAATAATAGTACGTCTTCCCATTCGATTCCGCAGCGAACCATCCTTGGGGTAACGGGTTGGCAAACGGTGGTCGACGAAAGGGTCTCGGGCCATGATGGTACGAATTACGAGGACCTATGTTATTTCGGAGAGCAGCAGGGGCACGCGGAGCTTCAATGGAACGTGATCGGGACCGGGATCGTGATCGCGATCGAGAATTTGATGTGGGTTGTGTGTCGGTTTTAGATGACTCTCGTCGTTCGAAGCGATTGACTGTTGGGGTGTTATTCGTAGCTGCAGGGTCCCTCCTCATTCGAGGAATTCGATAGCCAACCTCCAGTGTAGACCAGACCTCCAGAAGAGCCGCTGCTTTCTTTTCCACACGCTCATCACCACATTCAACCAATGGCTTGATAGTTGACTCAATATTCGAATCGATAATCTTGTTTCTAGTAAGTCTCGGGAACTTATCCAGGATATCAAGAATTTGCAGCACAACATTAAAATCGTCTTTCCAGGCACTGAGCTGCGAATTGAGAATCTTGTATCCATGCATTTTGACAACGCGGTTTCGCACGCGCTCATCGTCACAACGTTGAATACGGCCAAGTAGCTTTACGGCGATCCATTTCTCTTTGCACTGCATAAGAGCGGCCATGACCTTGGTGACACCATCTTCGTTCAATGACCTGGGCTGCATACTGTCAATATACTCTTCATCGTCTTCGCCAGTTTTCTTCTTGCGCGGCCGTTTTGCAACCGCCGTATCCCAGCCATCCGGGTCATCGATACCAAGCGCTTCGATGGTGGCATTGGACAGTTTCGTTGCACGTTCAGTCTGTGTTTTCCCACCGATAAAGCCTGTGCAGTTCGGCTCTCCGCAATAGCAAGGCTGCGGATCAGCTCCATAGCGATCGACATTGTAGTTGAAGACCAATTCCTCACCGGCCTTGATATGCCGCTCAGCAAAAATGCCCATTCGAAGCTTCTCGCCCACAACCCATTTGTCGACATAACAATTGGGATTACACGAATGGTTGCAGAAACGCCCGAGGTTGCCTTTTTTTGTGGCGTCGACAAACTCTCCCTTGCTGAGGGACATAAAATAGAAGTGTTTGATTCCTTCTTCGTCGTAACTTAGCATACGTTTCCGGAAGAGTGTCTCGTTGATGACTTCGCCAATATACTCAAAAATGAACTGATTAGGTCGCAAATCGGATTCGGCTCGCAGGCCATAGCCTTTTTTCTCAGTCTTGATGACGGACACGTCGGCGTATTGTCGACGTTGGAACCGTTGATTTTCGCATTCATCACCACATCCACAATCTCCGACACATTCCATTTTTGTGGCTCGATTGATACAATCTGAGTCTTCTCCACAGGCTCTATTTTTGGCAGCCACAGGATCTGGAAATTTTCATCAGCATCAATAATGTCTGGGAAGCTAGCGGTTGGGGACAAAGTCTGGGCCTTATGTCATCAGTAATATTAAAAATTGAGACACGGCATGCTCATGAATGAATTACTGGGGCATAGGGTCATATGCTCTATTCTTTCTATCCCCGTTCATACAGAGATATTGGCAGAGGAGAGTATGATAGAAAAAAAAAAAGACAATCACGGCTTACCCCACTCTTCTGCACAGTCGCATTCCATAGCATGTTCCGTATAACCCATGTATTTACTGGAATACGTGCAATCATTCATGAGTTGAAAAGTTGACTCAGCTTCGGCAGTACTGTCGGGTAGATGGTCGAAGAGAAGTGCTGGTCGAGGAACCACTTTCTGCGAAGCAGTTCGTGACAGCTTTGGTGGTAGACCCGGTTCCAATTTGACGGTTATGGAACCGGCCACTTTCTCTTTCGGTTGCTCATCTTCGTCTTTCCCACTGGGAGAGCTGGTCTCGCTTTGAGATTTTGACTTGGAGAGGCTTTTAGTGGAGCTAGGTTTTGAGAGAGGGACTAAACCATTTGCATGATCATTGGCAGCATCCGATGATAGGATATTGTCAATTGCAGGGCTGTCTGTTGAAGTATCGTGTTTGATTTGCATGGCAGTCACTGCGTCGGCTACCGCTTCCGCCTTGCAGTCCTCATCATCATGGGCCATGATCGAAGGTTGGACCACAAGGGGGAAATCGCTTGAGTTTACAGTATTTAAAATGTCGAAATTACGTTAGTAGTGAATATTCAAAAATTTAATGAATACCAGAGAGAAGCTGCGATTAATTACCCCTTAGACGTTGAAGTTGCTGTCAAACCGGGGGTGGTGAAGAAGTGAGTTCGGTTGCTGAAGCGGCCAAGGTGCTGCTGGTTGTTTTCGACGGATGATGGATTGATAGATAACACCCGGTGGATGACCAGCCTGGTGAAGTGAAAGGATACCGGGCCCTGACATAGGACAGACCCAGCCGCTGCACCGTCTGCGCTGTTTAGCTGATGGTAAGACGTGGTGCAGGCCAGCGCTCCCGGTCGGTGCGAGAAGGAGGAAGGTGAGGAAGTGCAGGTGGAGAGTGCGGTGTGGTAGAAATCGAGGTGGTGCGTGGACAGATGCGGTCACGATGGTGGCCGGTAAACTTAGTCGGGCTGGGAAAATATAACGCTGGAGCACAGGATCACGGCAAATCCCCAAGCACCAAGCTCAGACCAGCAAGTGTCGAAGGCCTGGAGGATCACTTAGACGAGGCAAAGGCAGATCTGGACCGCAAAGTAAAATGCGGATGGGAGGAGCAGCAAAGATGCTCTCGCAACTGTCTCCTTTTGCCAACCAATATGAACAGGATTGAATGCCTTCTGGCGAGAATTTGAATGTTTTGTGTCCTTTCTTTTCTGGTCCCTTGAGTCAACAATGCCAATATATTTGCTTCACGACAGCAAGGAGGAATAATCAACTCCAGACAGAGTGCAAGCGTTGCTTCAAATTGAACCTGCGAGCCTTAAATATGATAGGTTATTCCCGGATAAAACAAAAGAAAGCAGGTGGCAGTTAACAAAAAACCGCGAATGCCATTATAAATCTATCGTGTTCTATCTGGCTTGGGCTCCCCACGAGATTTTGTAGTGATGGGAGAAATGACAGGAGGTGCAAAACATAAGATGATTGTGTCGTGATTGACAAATGAGGAGGATGCAATAGCTTTGAGGTGTGGGGCGTGGAATAAAAATGCAGTGCGTGGAATTATCAGTAGCCCCCCATAAAAAAAAATCTCAACAACGGCTTCTTCCTCCCACCAAAAATGTGGCCGGTTTGCCTCCTTTATGGCGCCACAAGAAGTCGATATCGGCACTTATAAAAAATAAAAGAACTGCCCTTCGCCGTCACCACACGAAATATTGTCACTTCCAATGGGCCAATAACAAATCACTGTAAAATTTTTTCCCTTTTTTCTCCACCAGGTGGTTTTCATTGGGCCATCTGGAGGATATCATTCAGAGTAGAAATAAAGGCGGATTAGTCAAAACAGTGTTATCGCTCGGGAATCATAAGCCTTCGGCGGAGGTTAGTTCTTCATTGTTATCGCCGAGGGACCTCCCCGCAAGGTGTGGTGTGCGGTACAGGCTTCCCCCGGCCAGAATAATATCAGGGTTTCCAGTCCAAAGCGAGGCTAGGACTAAGTCTCATTGTCAAGCAGCAACCATTAATAATGATTCAAAAAGAAAGCCAAGACATAAATGTCTACAGAAAAGCAGACAGAGATCGGAAAAATATCCTCATAGGCCTGACCCAAAGCAACCGTTGTTTCCTGTGGTAATCGACCCATGGAGTAACCAGCGGGAGAAAACTGTGGTGACCCATGGTATGAGAGGTCGAAAGGAAAACTCCACAGGGCCAAGGAATAAAACGCCAAAACATCGGGAGGCGATTATCGTAACATGGTTAACTACAAGCGGGCATCAACTCATCTCAACATGAAATGGGTGACATGTCTTTCGCTTCATGATTTGATTTGCGAAGTTCATAAATCCCACAAGGAAATAAACATTGTTGCGTCTACCACCAGGCCTTCTAGTGCCTCTGAATCGGGGACGCTTGGAGTTGCCAGCAGGATATTTGAATAAATCATCAGAGCCAACGTGGCCGTGCGTCCCACCGTCAGCGCGAGATGGGTAATTCCCAAGGTGTCACCGCAGTCTCAGCTAGAGAAAAATAAATAATATCCATCGTGGTTTCCCGGCCGAGTAGTCAGTATATTTTTGGCCTATATAAACCATTTTTTGAATTTCGTGTTGTGTGGTTGTTCTTGAAAAATATCTTCTTGATGGCTACCTGGTGACGTCTGGCATTGCGTACACCACGCTGAACCCCGCCAATGTCAAAATACGGAGAAATATGTTTCAGGTCTGCGTCGAAAGCTGTTGAATGAATCAAGGGCATAAATAACTGGGAAAAGTTAAACCATTTCAAACGAGAATCTTAGCAAAAGTATGCTGTGTTTCCTTCGAGGATAAAATGCTGGCCATTTCGCTGATGGATTAAAAAATAAACTTCTTGCAGTATTTTGAAACACGCGATACCTTATTTGAGTACGCCATGGATAAGCGTGAGAGGTGGCTGGAATTGCTCATCCTACCACTTATTTGCTGAGCTCTGGCCGAGCCATTGCCAAACTTGCAAAGAACGGGCTTGGAGCTTGATGGTGTTGAGGGTGTTGACTGGCTGCGGGAGGAGCCCGCGATCGACGTTGCTAAAAAGCCAACGGCAGGGGATAACTGGTTTGCAGAGCATGGCAAAGAAATCGTGGAGGGAACCATGAACAGGGCTGATTCACGAAGAAATTCTGGCGGTTCTCCCCCACCGAGCTCCGATGATAGTCCTGGTGGCTCCCGTTGGCGTCGGCTCGCTGAACTACCATTGTCAGGAAGCCTCAAACCCTGGAATTATTTCTTTTGGGTTTTATTTTTTGGGGCGTAGGAAGCGAAGACGCAGATATTGCATGACTCGCGTCCATCACAAACAAATGCCAATGGCTTCTTGTTGAAGCGAAGTGAAACGGGGAGGGAAACCCCGCTGCAGAAAGTTCAAAGAAAGCCGACCCGTGTGCCCAGCGTGCCGGGGAGCCACGAAGGCTAAAAGTGCGGAAGTCCCCAACGGCTGTTTCGCGGGCCCAATGTGCGGGACAAAGAGCTGTCCACCAATAATAAAGATCGATGAAGCTCTCCAGTCGGTTAAAATCCAATTTGAGCGAGCCAGTTGACTGGAAACCCGAGCCAACCTCTATGCTTCGAAGATGTGCTGGAAAGGGTGAGCGATTGGTGTGTTCGCAACTAGGCATCGCTGGGTCGGGGGCTAAAGTCAAGCGTGATCCCGTCCAGGTTCACCCACGAATATGGCGACACGAGCCGGACTGATGCCCTCGAAGTGGTGCTTGTGTCGAGTCGAGCGAGGTTGAGCAGATGCAAGATTTTTGATATCGATTTCCAAGCACGTATGGTAATTAATGTACGGTATGTATCTTGATACGTTACTGTATTTCATCTACATATATTACGTCTGGTACTTACTTGGATCTGCCCCGTTTATCCGCGCTCAGGAATGAACTGAAAATTTGCTCTTCAGTTCCCTGTAATTTGAAGAGGCTCCACACTAGGTTCTCTCTTCTACAGCGTATGTTCTGAGTTCTCAATATGTTCTATTTTCATTGGCCATCCATTTGGCAAATGCCAATTGATCAAGCTGTGTGAGGGCTTCATATTTGTTTTGTATTTTGCTTCTTCTCTGAGCCGCATACAGTTGTTTTCACTTTGTGATATGGACGTCCTCCATTTTATCCATGCAGCTTGGTCGTCGCCCCCGCGCTCCCGCTCTGCCCCTGTCTCCCCTCACATATCGTCATTCCGTGCTCCCTCCAAAGAGTTGCCTGTGGGCCACCAGTCCCGAGTTGAAGCCCATTGCACTCCATGCGAAAATAGTTAATGGCTTGGTGATGGAGCGCAAGGATTGTGTATGCTAACAATCGTGTCTACTCCCAACCCCCGTTCTGATGAGGCTGATATACTGCATACGCGCAGTATAACTGTAGACCCTGTTACTGATGCAATGTCACTAATTTACGATACAGGGACTTGCATGGGGGTGGATTGACACTTTGTGCGCCGAGAAAACCAGCAGATTGAACAGACTGACAGGGGATTCCATCTGACATTGAGTGGTTACCCACGGAGTATGCCGTCTAAAATGTCTTGCATATTCAGTCCTGTACTGGCCAGACTCACATTCTTTGCTCTCTCTCTACATTTGCGGACATTTCTCCGCTGCTTTGTGACTACGAATTGTCGGAATTATTTTCTTGCTTTTCCTGCAGGAAATTCTGATGGCTGTGACTGATGTGTTGGTTTGCTGTTGTTTTTGATACCGATCCTTGATGATTGCGACATGCCATCCTGTCCAATCCCTTTCTCGGTTCTTTGTTTTGCTCTCCTGCAGCCTGCAGCTCGAAACCCGCTCGTTGTGGCTCGCCTCTCTTGCATGAAGCCATTCCACATCCCTACATCCCCCTCCAATTAATTTTGTCGCTGGCTATCCACTCAATCCACTAATTAATAGTGTCTGCTGTGTCAACTTGACCAGAGACGGTTCAAAAGAAGGAAATGATTTCGAAAAAAAGAAAGAAAGAAAAAAAGAAAAGGTATACTCATCCTGCTATAACCAGGCACTCGGCAAAAGGGCAATGGAAGGATTTCCACACTATTCACAATGAACAGGGGTTCCAAAAAGATGAAAGCGATGCTCCAGCTTTCCCGATATTTGCATCGGAGGATTTGGGAATTGGGGCAATCATAGTAATATCGCCACGGAAAACAACATGTTTCTTTGCAACATTCTCGCACTTCCTACATCCACTCATTTTAGTGCAAGATTCTTCCTTGCCTCCGGGACCCCCTAGCCCATCCACTAGGATGATGAGCCTCTTTTGATTCCAAGTCTTCGCCGACGCAGTGACACCATGGCTTCCAGACTCAACCCCTGCTCTACCGGCTGATCAACAGCAGCTGTCTTGTGAAAATAAACAAAAATAAACATCAACATCCAAATCAAAACTAAAGCTAATCAAAGCATGAACCCCGCCGGCCACGCGTTCCGTGATTCGTTCATGTTTTAACAGCAAACATGTTTCTCTGTGCGGCGGGAACTACAGCAGGACTATTCCCACTGATACGGCGACCAATTCCATTTCACATTCAATATTTGAAAAACATTGCTGTCCAAGCAGATAAAAACGACAACTAGCCTGAGGAACATCAATCCATCTAGCCTTCTTCCCACGAGCAGGTATGGCAAAAGCCACAGCCAAAAATCTAGAATCAAGAGAAGCATGTGCTTTGTCAGGTTCCATTTGTCGACGCTTTTGTGCCAAAATATTACTTACTGATTAGAGCAATATCATCAGCCACATCCAGCTTGAGACTTCAAGAGCCTTCCCGTGTCGCGCCAAGAAAAACAAGCTGGTGTATGGGGACTTAAAAGCTAATAATAAACAATACCATGAGGACCACACCAACAGAGGTGTTTTAATATTCTGCAAGCTCCCTTCGACACTATTTTTTGTCCTTTCTGCTTTCGTACACGGTGTTTTCCATATTTATTTCAATCAAGCTTGCTCTTCCCTATTCCCTACAATGTGGGGTTGTGTACAACAGATTTCATCCGATTGATAGAGGCTTTTTACCCCAGAGCAACAGGCCAACAGGCCAACCTTAACCTCCTTACCCGCAATAACATGGAGCATTCTTAAACGATATCGTCCCTATCCCCCCCTTCTTTTGGTCGCCAACCATGGTTTAAATTGTACGACTTTGAAAGCACACCAACCTTCACCAATGATTCGCTTGGTGACATTTGCAATCTATCGAGGTAAATTACACCACCTGCTACTGTTGAGACGGAATTAACACCAGTCGGCTTCGTTGAGGTGAGATTATGTCCTCAAAATCTTTCTCCATTACGTTCCTGTTTTCCTTCCCTATTTTTTGGTTTGGTTATTTTTGGATTTATTCAAAGAGAATGGAGAGTAATACATAGGACAGATATTCTGGTCAGGTACTATGAACCCTGCTTGCGGTTGGTTGCGCTCATAAATCTTCCTGTATATATCATACCATACCATACCACACCTTTCGTTTCGTTTCGTTTCGTTTTGATACTATACCGTACCCTGCGTAAAAATCATCCAAATCGGCGCTGGCGCTGGTGCTCGCTCACGTTACCTTGGCCCGCGCTTCCTCCTTCCTCACCTCATCGTCTCCTGAGATCTCTTCCATCTCGTCTTCCATCGTCGGCTTCATTTCTTCCTCTTCCACTCCTTCACCTCTCTCCCCTCCCTCCCCCGTTTCTTTCCCTTCTTTTCTCTTTCTTTCTCCTTCCTCTCCCCCGCCTTATGCTATCTTCTCTTTCTTTTCCTCCCTCCTGCATCCTCCCCCTTTTCCCATTCTACAGTACTTTTCCAATCTCTCTTTAACTGTTTTTATTGGCCCAACTTCTCATTCAAAGGAACCCCAGCATTGACATTGTCCGACGGCCAACCCCCCCGGTGTTGATACTCTCGTTAACCTCTCTCATCCTACATTCTGATGATTTGATATTCGTTTTCAACGGCCAGCATATCTATCGCTTTCGAGTCGACTAGCCCATTCACGCAGCGCCATCCGCCCAGTATTACATCCTCACTAATGCCCTGGATGCCCACCCACATATGCCGAAATTTTAATCAATTCTGTTACGATCACGATTACTCCGGCGGCGCAATTGAGCGTTCGTAGCACCTCTTTTTCTAGCGATACTCGCACTCATTTTGATTTTTGTCACGTTTCATTCAGCTAGCGAAAACCCACGTTCAATCGGTCATTCTTTTCGGGTCCACATTCCGCGCAATCACCTCCCTTTCGAGCCCTGGATTGGTCGCCTGACTTTTCTTGGGAGGCCACCTTGTATACCCGTTCTCTTGCATGCCTTATTATTCTCGTTTTCCTCCTGTCCAATTGCGCCTTGGCTGGAGAATTCCCAAAGACTTTTCTCGATTTTCGTGATATAGTTCATACCAATCATCCGACTCGACTATATTCTTTCATTTTGCTTTTGTCATTCGCCAGAAGCTATAACCAAAGTCTCAGTCGGACACCTCGTCTCAGGGACAGTGTATGGTTCGGATTTGGCTATTCTCATTCATGACCTACTAAACATGTCGAACCCGCCCGATATATGGACTGAGGAGGAAAAGGTACCGCTCTAAACTCTTGTTATATTGAACGGGAGTTGGGAATGTTTCGATCGGCTCGAGGTCGTACGGCGTAGACAGAACTAACCATTAAACTCTCTAGACATTTCTGCTCACGGAGATTATCAAAAGAGCCAGAATCCCGCCAAGTTTCCTCTACAACATGATTCAGGAACAGGGTGTCAGCCCTGCCTTCATGGAAATTCCACTCCCTCCAGGTATGTGGTTTTGTGTCCGTTACGGTCATATAGTGTTGCGTGTTCTAAAGACTGGCAAACATTCCTAGGCCTGTATTATTTATTTGTTTATTTTATTTTATTGGGAGAAAGTCCAGCACCAAAACTGACTATGACGTGAGAGTGTAGGACGTTCTGTTATCGCATGTCAAAATGCATATGACCATATGTCCCAAGAGTATGGGAACATTTCTCAACGGCAGAGGCTTTCTGGTCCAACTGCTCCATTGCAAATATCGCCTGGGGACAGGAAACGTCCTCCTCCTTTCCAAGTAGAAAAGCCCCCAGCGGGGCATCGTGCAATTCAGCCAAAACCCATTCCCCCGGGTCGATACCCCAGCATCGACATTCGGACACCTCAGCAGTTATCCCCTAATGTTGATAACAGTCTATTTAGCGAACCTCCGCGGAAACGCGGGAGGCCAAGTAAAGCGGAGATACAGCGCCGGAACCAACTTGCGCAAGCTCGAGGGGACCCGTATCCTCCTGTAAACAGGCATCCGCCAAGGTTCGGGGTGCAATTAGCACCATCCTTGCTGACAGGAACATCATCTGAACCCGTTCCTTTTTCTTCCATGCGGCCGCAGGTCACGGACAGCCATGCTCATGGCGGCCCAATCCAACCAACAGATGCGTTTGGTTCTCAAACACAAGATATACGAGTCCACCGAGCGCCGCGATCACAAATTAGTCCGAGCAGCGGGGCTCCGGTATCATTCACTCCCAATTCGGAGCCGGGGGAGCCAACGCCTCGGGCAACCATAGAAAACCAAGCTCCCCACCCCACAACGTCTTCAATCCCTTCTTCCAAGGTCATGGATCAATCAAGCTCTTTACCGGATAACCCTAAGCCAGAAACACCACTTACTTCGAGCGCTGCAACTGTGGAGCACGGGAAGGACATTTCACCGGCTCTGTCTGTTGCCAAAAGAGAAAGCGCATCCTAATACATATCTCAAAATGCTCACCAGTGGATAGAGGCAATGAACCGGTCCAGGATCTAGCAAGCTACAAATAGACCAACTGATATTTAAAAAATCAATAAGTTTTCGATAAGAAAAGAGTGCGCTATTATATATGCGAAACGCAAACGATTTGACGTATGAGGTAGATCTCGCCTGTCTACTCTCGGCTTTACGACCTTCTTTACCTAGGTATCTCTTCTTTTTGTTTCGGAAAACCAATAACGAGGGAAGTGATTTTTTTCTCTTTCTCAATCTTCATAACCTTCTCATTTACGGCCTAGTCCTGAGGGGTTCCATGTGAATGAAAATTGGAAATTCGATGGTACTTCATTTTCTCCCTTGTTTTATGGAAATTCCACGGTTCCCTTGCTGAGTCAATTTAATTTGACATTGCACCGTTGAAATATATTTGGTCAACGCAAAGCATACTCAGCTGTGTCAAATTCGAGCTTGGGCAGGCGAATAATCAAAAGCGCGGAACTTGCAACAGCAAGGCCCCTCGCTTGAACCAAGTATCAAGCACTTGAACTCACAGGCGCCGGATTAAGTCCTATCACCACTACTTTTACTCACTACACTTTGATACCAGACAATCCTTCGATATCTCCTATATTTCTGATGTTGGGTTTTATTTTCTATTATCTTTGTTTTCTTGACTCAAACCACACCCAGACCAGACCTCCGTGGCTTAATCTTTTTTTTATTTCATCTACATTCTCTTTCTCAGTGATACTACTTCGCTTCTAATGATAATGTATGGATACATGACATTACTTCCTTCTTATGATTGTCAACGTATTTTTCTCCTCATTTTTCTTTTTTCTTTTTGGTTCTGCTTTTTGCTTTGAGGCGTGCTAGACACATTTTTTTTTTGATGGTTTTGATTCCCCACCTCACTGTCTCTTGTTCTTATTATTTTCTGGTGTTCTCGCCAGGGCGTTTATACACAATGTGCATATGAAACTTAACAGTGTTTCCAATTTCGCTCCTCTTCACGTGTGTACATATTTTGTCCGACATCTTGGACAGTGTTCTTACACATTATCAATCATGTTTTTCCGCTGGATTTAAATATGGTCTTCATACCTAATATTTCCCTGCTTTTAACATTTCTTCATTTTATTTGCAGAGTTAATCACTGATTCCTGGGCAGTAGGATGTATGTATGTGTAATATTAGTTGTAACTGTGGGATGGTTGATCTTGTTATTGTTGTGGTCGCTAGCTAACTATATAGGGGTAATCACGTGCGGTGGAGGGCCACCTGGGCAACTAGTGCCCAACACCCCCCCACACGCCAACGTGCGTGATGTGTTCCTATGAATATTCCATGCTAACTATCTTAACCTAGATCATTCCAAAAACATGCTATATACAGAAATTTAATCATTCTTGCTGTTGCCAGTGAAAAGTTCTAGTAATTTAATGAAATATCTAAATATCACTGTGCTCAGAGATTTTGTTAATCTGTCTGCTATCATATTCTCAGTGAGAATGTGATTAATTGAAATAATGTCTTTATTCAATTGTATGTAAGAATAGTGAAAGTGAGTGTTGATATACTTGCTGTATATCATAATTACAGCAATAATAGCTAGATTAATTGAATTTTTATTATCTGCTCTGATGAATAAGAGATTCTTTGCTGTAATGAATTCTAGTTTCATTATTATATTACACAATCATATTGCTTCACATACTGCTTCACTGAATGTCATATATTCTATTTTATTTAAACTTAAAGAAATATAAGATTGTTTGAATGAATGCTATGAAATTGATGCATCTGTTAATTTGAATATAAAACTTAAGATAGATTTATATTTACTATTCAATGATTCTGCTCAATCTGAATCTGTATAATTTATTGATAAATATAATATATTGAGGAATTCATTGATCTCATTCTTGAGATCTTTGTATAAAATATCTAGATTGCTTATTTCTTTTAGATATTGTATAATATAAAGAAGAGTTTTTTATATTTTAGATATAGATGCAGTATTTTTCTGTGCTAGTAGAGATGCTGTTTATACAATATCTGAGTATAATTTAACTGTCAGATACTGCAAGTATTCTACTCTGTATTGATATTATTCTTTAGTAAACTCTTCTTCTTATTCTGATACAGAGACATTGTCTATCTTCATTATTTTAAGTATTAATATAGAGACAGAGACAGTATTGTCTAGATGAAAATCTTGCACTAAACAATTGATATAGTGTCTCAATGTCAATTTTATAATATCATCAAAATGATATTCAATCTCTATACTCAAGTATTTCAAAGATTTTTTCAAATCTTTTATTTTTAATTTATTAATAAAGATATCAACTAGTCAATCAGCATCTGCTGAATCTTCTACTATAATATAAAAATTGTCTATATAGATTGTTATATAAAGATAATTGTAAGATATATAATGCTATAGAGTAGAGTTGTAGAGACTAGATTTGAAGTTATTCTTATAAAATAATACTGTAAGAAAATTGTATCAAATCTTAACAGTGAGATTCAATTCATATAAAAAGTCTATAATAATATAAATCATTGTATGTGAAATCTTCATCTTAAATCTGATAGATTGCTGTATATAAATTGTTTTATCAAGTTGACTGTGTAGATAGACTATAACTATATCAATCTAATGCAAGATTCAACTTTACTTTACTGCTACTGTAAACATCATATAATTAGTAGCATTATTGACAACAGATATATATATTTCTTTGCATGCACTTTTTTTTAATCAATTATCATATACTATTTATTGAGATTTTTGTAATATATCATCAGAATCTATATTGAGATCTCAGAGACAATCTTTTTCAATATAAACTCAGTAGTCAGAAGCCACTGACTTATCAGAAGAAACATCAGAATATGAAATTATTATTCAAATATTTCTTCATTTCAAATCTACAATTTTATATTTTATTGACTTTTATCAATATTTATCAATCTCTTCAGATCTACTAATAATATTCTTATATTTTTTCAGAACAGAATCAGTAAGAGAAGAAAAAATATAGATGATAAATACTTTTACTGATTTTATCTATTTGATATTAGCTAATTCAGAAACAGCAGTATTATCAATAAAATAAGTTACTAAATTTACAGCTTCAGATATTGTATGATTAATATTAATCTGTGAGATTGTAGATTTCTTTGCAGAGAAAATAATATCACTAATGATAATTATTTTATCAATTGTAGAATTTCAGAGATGATAAATTGAGTTATTACAGAATTCTATAAGTTTAAATATTTTTACTCTGATGAACAGCTTATCAGTAGATTTTTGAGATTTATGAAAATATATATAAACATCAATATCTAGCTCTCTAAAATGATAAAATTGAGATGAAGTATTGATTAGTGCTGAGAATGAAATAATATAGAGGTATTATATAGATTTTTCTTTGATATTAGTAGATCAGTATTTCTTATTATATAGAGTGGTAGATATTGAAGTGTTGTTGATAATTATAACTACTATTTTAAGAACATCTGCTCAGAACTTCTTCAGTATATTTATATCTATAAGCACTGCTCTAGTATATATCATTATTATATGAATTTCTCTCTCAGAAACACTATTTTAATAAGAGGATTGAAGTATAGTAGATTCTCAGATAGTGTCATTTTTGATTATCATCATTGTCATTTTATTTGATTGAAAGACATTATTGATATTGATTCTAACTAGCACTGATGATATGAAGCTGAGATTTTTCATGAATTAAATTCAGTGAATGTAAAATTTAATAGCTTGATTTTTAATATATAAAAAATAGATTCATCTATAACAGATAATGTCATCAGTAATAAGTATATAATATTTAGTCTCTTAATAAGATTCTATAGAGTAATCAGATATATCATTCAGTGTATAACTGCTGTCAGTAAGATTAATATAAATACATTACATTGCTCACAACACTTATAGTATAAAAGTTTATAAGAATTTATATATTATATCTACTTTGACACAGCTATTGCAGAAGAAGTCTGTTTTAGATTTTTTAATACAGATATTAGATAATAAATTCTTCACTAGTGTGATGATTGTATCAGTGTGAATATACTCTAAAGTGACATATCATTTCATAAGTGTTTTTATCAGAAAATTGTGATCACTAGATTGATTGCTAGATTTCCTCATAATTGTCAATATTGTATCTCTGTAATTATAAGATTTGGCTATAAAATGAATGATCTGAGATGAATGATGAATATCTATTTGAAATTCTTATTCTATTATCTTGTAGATCAATTCTTTAAATATATAAACAGTGATGAAATTGACACTGTTTGAGACTTTTATTATAAAATAAGAAGAAGTGATGTCAGATAGTTGATATCTGAAACCTTGATTTTCTAGCTTTGTGAAGAATAGAAAATTAACAGTGAAGTTGAGAATTCAGTGAATATAATTCACTGAGATATCTCTCTCTTCTGATTCTAGAAGAATATCATCTATTTTCTCAATCTGTTCTATACCACTGTCTGTAATAATTATCTCTAAATTCTTCTTAAATAACTTTACATACATCAATGAATGTCTTTCACTCATCATATTAAAGCTTATGCAGATGTTGAGATATCAAAATTTAAATATTATAGTAAATAATACAGATAAAGCAAATACTGTATTGATACTAGATTATAAAATAAGAAGATCTGACACTCTGATGCTAGTAGATTTATCATCATTCTTATTTTTCTTTTTATTCTTTCTCTTCTTTTTAATACTTTCAGTATTATCAGTGTTCTTATTATTCTTATTTTTCTTTCTTCATTACTCAGATACTTTGTCAGAGTTCAGATGATAGTAATTAGTCTTTATATACTCTGAGATCTTACAGTATCCACACTGTGAGATTGTGATGATGATTATAATATTATCATCATTGTTATTGATGACTATATTGATCTTTGAAGCTTTGAGATATTCAGAACTCTCTGACTTACTCATTCAGTGAGTAATTTATTTTGTAAAATCATTAATATCTAAATTAATAATTAAATTCTAATCTGTTCTGTAGAATATATCAAAATATGATTTGATGTAAATTCTCTGATAATCTCAGAGATTAATAATAAAGAAATTATAAAGATAATTCTTACTGCAGTTCTTCATTAGTTGTTATATACAAGCAGATAGATAGTAATATTGATGTATGTACATCAGATAATCACTGTTCTTGATATATAAATGAGTAAGTTCTTTGAGAATATTAATTCTTTTCTCTTCTAGAGACATCATATATACTGTGCTTATCTTATATTATAGAGCTGCTGTGTTGTCAGATTGAATAAATCTCATAATCAAATAAACAGAATCTATCAGAGATTATAATATACAACAGAAAAGTAGCTTTGAATATATTATTTAATATTATTACTCAAGTATTGATAAATCTTCAGATGATTTTTATTGATTTTTATTGAAAATATCTGTATTATCAATCATCTCTGCATCTGAGAAGAATATCATCTTTCATATCTGATAGTTGATGTCATTGAATATAGTGACAGACTTTGTATTCAATGAAATCTGTGTTTTTTTCTGATATTCACAAATCAGTATATTTGAATCTTCTTCTGATATAGAGTTCAGAAGAGATGAAGGTGAAGAAGAAGATAATGAAGAAGATGATAATATATATACTAATATCAGTTACTCACAGAGTGCAATAAGATCTGCTGCTGCCATGATCACTATATTATTAGAATTTGATATAGATATCAGTATAGAACTGAATATATCATTCTTAAATTTCTTATATTCTAGCATCTTATCAGTATCTTATGCTGAGTCAGAGATTGTCATATCTTCCTCTATTATTGTATATTCAGTTTGATCACTCTTCACTTCTGAGGTGGATTTTTACTCAGTAATAGAGAGAAAGAATTGAGAAACTCTTGATTGCAAATATAGTGTCTTCTTACATTCTGATATAAGAGTTGCAGATAATTGAGAATCACTTATAATCAATCTAATTTAGAAAGATTCTGAATGAAAATAAATAAATAAGTTTTTGATTTTTTCAAGATAGTAATGAAATCTCTGCAGCAGTCTTGACAGTAATTTCATCAATTATATTACTTTTATAGACAAAGAGCTCTCTTTTCAGAGAAATAATATCTAACTCATTCAATATAACATCAGTTGCAGTGTATTCTAATTAAAACATATTGTTTTTCTTAAAAATCTGCTATCTGAGCCATAACCTGTGGGATGGTTGATCTTGTTATTGTTGTGGTCGCTAGCTAACTATATAGGGGTAATCACGTGCGGTGGAGGGCCACCTGGGCAACTAGTGCCCAACAGTAACATATCCTGTTATAGAGTATATACATTATTCAGTAATGATTATATCAGAGCTGCTAAGTTATAAAAAGAGTGAAAGAGTGGCACAGCATTTTTTATTCTCACCAGAATATACGATATTACCATCGCCTGCTACAGTTGGTAGGAATGGATGGGTATTACTCCCGGCCAAGATTTAGCTATTTTATACACAAAAATACCTCCCAGGCTTATCACTTCATACTTAATAAAGACATGCGACTACATGCTATAACACTCTATATGGTAGATTTAGTACTCTCACAGGGAATCGAGTGCTGGACACAGACAGGCCCATGCTGCGAAGTCACTCGATCAGCAGGTTATGACATAGCCTACATAGCCCACACGAAGGTAAATCCATCAGGGATGTGACATCTGAACCATATATATGGCTAAACCTCCTAGGGACACCAGCACTTGGAGGCATATATGATAAGACACTCACAAACAGCTAACACTTTCTACATTATGAGTAGGCTAGAGCTTGAGAGATCTAGAGGACTATAAGACCATTCATGCCAGGTCTGATGTCTTCAAGGCCTGAGAACTTTTATGTATATAATTCGGTTTCCTAGCACGGACTAGCGCCCCGCACACAGTAGACAGTAGTAGAATAGCACCTATTACAACCCACTCAGACGTCCAACAGTAACTCATAGGCTTTTATATCGGCTAGTGGCTGCTATGATGTGTGATTTTTCGATTGAGTGATCAAGAGACTATCCGTCTACCTCTCATCTCTTTAGAGTTTTTGGCTGGGTGTATATGTGCTGTACCACACATGCCGTGTTTTTATCAAAATATCATAAAGTACTGTCCCTCTTACAAACCGTATCCCTCAAACTTTCCTACCAAGGCATATACATCCAATCTTTTTCATTCTTACTTCTTACCCCATCAATCCCATGAAGCTCAATTCTGCTCTTCTTTGTCCCCAATCCTGGCCAATCCTGGCCAATCGGGAACCCCTGTTTGGTCCCCACATAGTAATATGTTTTAGGCTTGCGGCCGACAGTCCGCGGGGAGCGGGAAGGCCCGAAGTAACTGCGAGGTTCCCATATGTACCCCGAGGCTATATACATTACACCCGTGTATAAAATGAATTGTGCAACATACTAGGCGTGATGTACGCAGGCAGGCGGGGAGGGAGGTAGGTACCCGTGCCGCAGACATGAGTTAACTTGGAGAGACCATGATTGCCTGCAATGGGTGGGGGTAGGCGCCGTAGGGGTTGTGTTTGATGCAAGTCATATGCCAGTCATGAAGCGGATGGGTAGGGAGTTTGGGATTGGATAAGAGAAGGATGGATGGCCGTTATGGTAGGATTATAAGAACAAGTTCAGCATTACCGTGGTAAAAACAGAAACGACGTTCCAATACTTCAGCAGATAGGTACATGTCCGTGTAACAGAAAAAATGGGGCAGAAATCATGGGGATATTCAAAACGCATGGACAAAGAAAATGAATGGGATTATTTTTAAAAATGCTACCTTGCGATCGCGAAGTAACAGTTCGAAGTTACATGACAGTATCCCATGGCGAATTTTTCAAGTACTAGTATCCTCGGGTCATGTTGATAGTTGTTCAGGAACAGAGTTTATATTACTAGTATTTACAGCGTCAAAGCTCCTCGAGGCCGCCCTTCAGGGCTCAACTATAACAATATGATGTCAAACTGTCATTAATTCTCTTCTTTTTTACCTTTTTCTTTTTTGCTAGCCAGGTTTTCATTTCATACTGCAATAAATACAGAGAAAAAACAGGATCGACTATAGGTTGAAACCGAGGTCAGTAAAAAATCCCAGCCTTTATTTCCATTTCCCGATATGTATGTGCAGTACGTTACCTCTGATGTGTTTGGTCAGTACTAATATTTTTCGGTTTTTTTTGCGATTATGCTCTCAACTTCTGAAAAATCATAGTTAACCTACTTCTCCGCTTGGAATGCGTAGATTTAAATTAGTATCAATCATTTTCGATTAACTGCATGAGCGATTATTGGAATGGCACCGCCAGAATCGCACACGCCCAGTCATGTAGCGCAAGAAACATCCAAAGAGGAAAAAAGATTTAAGTAAGGGCTTGGGGGAAGAAGCACTCTACAAGGAAACCAGTTTCATTTCAAGAAAAATGTCGCGCAGATGTGATGCATTAAATGGGGATATTTTCTCATTTATCAACAGCGGTTTCGGAGTATTTCCTAGTAGATACTCAACATATCTCCGCAGTGCGAATACTCTTAGCTTCCAACTTCAGAATTAAATACAATTTTTGATTCTTGGGGGAGAGGTATACTATATTCTTCAGTCCAAATCTAGTAATCTTTAGGAAATTCTGTTCCTTCGATCTCAGTGGGACTTCGCGGCTGTCATGCCATGGGAAATATCATCACTCTTATTGCTTCCATCACTATTTATTCTGTGCCAGCGGAATTGGATGGATAGGCGCCGGCGAATGCGGGGCAAGAAGGCGAACATTTCGTTCCTCTTTCAAGTTACGCTGTGAATACACCGACGTATTTACGGGATGATACAAACGTAATGTTGCTCCGTATTGTACTATACAGTACACAGTACAGATATGCGACTTTAATCTTTTCGAACAAAGCAAAGAACAAGAAAAGCAATCCTCATTACTTGCTCTCCCTCCCTTTTTCTACCTATTCAAACACAATACTAGGGAAAATTAAGAGAGGGCTTGACGAATGTGGCGGGCCCAAAATTTGAAGCATTCTACTTATCAATATTTTATAAGCTTCCAATTCGTTCAGAGAAAGCCTAAGGGCTAGCAATATTTATCTATACTGGTAGTCTTTTGAACCGATCACATCATTCGATCCACGATCCTGACTCCGATCGGGGATCTGGATCTTTTTTTTTTTTTTTGCCCCATAATTTCGAAGGGCGTCCCTTTAAGGTAGGGGATTCCTTCTCAGTGTCTCTTGGCATGGTGCATGCTGGTGTCTGGTTGCGTCTCACACAGGCTATCTCATATACTGTCCGCAAATACAAGCAAGTTTGCCGGTTGGCACAGGCAGGATACTATTCCATCTCCGTCCAATGCACAGTACAACGACGCTGCTGTTATGTATATAAGAGAACCATGCGAGGTTCTTTCTTCTCTTGGCTTGATCCGTTTCAATATATGCATACATGGAAGATTCTGATAAGCCACGAAGAATCTGTGATGTTGAAAATCAAGTGATTCTTATGTTATTCTTGATATTATATAGTCTTATATATCGTTACTATATATGGAGTTGAAGCCTTCACTTAGCATTATTCAAAGCTAGTCCGTATATATGGACCAAATGTCCTTCTAGGCTGGCGTGGCCAGAGCCTATGGACGCCCCCGACTCGTGGCCCCATGCGACTGACGCATCCAACCTCAAAGCAACATGGCAATATCGATTGGGTTATGAATTTGCCCTTCACTTCATCGACTCCTAGTGGGGGAGCTCTGATGACCACCATGTATTTATTCAGGCTCCTTGAAACAATGCGACAAGCAGCAGAGCCATGAGGAACATCGACTTGGCCATCCATATCATGAGAGCAACTGAAGCTAGAGTATCACATTGGCATAACCTGTTCAAGAATTGGCTAACCAAGCACGATTTACTGGAGTGGATCCGTGTCACAATGCTTTGAGCTGCATATCAATATCTCACCCGCCTTCCCGTTCGACAAGTCACTCACCAGTTCCAGGCTGCTCTCTTAAGCCATTGCCAAGCAGTTAAACCCCTAATTATCGCAAAAAAAGATAGCGAGGTCATCCAGAAAAGGTGGACTTGGCCTGACTGACCTAGAAATGCATGCCTCCATAGCTCTATATCGAGCGCTACTGCTGACAGATCGCATTCCAGAATGGGTTGATATGCGTTGCATTTGGAGAACATCCAGTGATCACTTCTGTCATGCCCATCACCGGCGGCGATATCAGTAATCCCAAACGTGTTGATGGAGATCATCAATTTTGGCAATCTCAATCACCTTGCCCGATGGCACACTCGCAAATGCAAAACCTGATTACTCTTTTTGATGCTCATCCTTACTGGCTGGACCGTCAAATTCGCAGTGATCGAAATGGGTTGAATTGTCCCTTCAACGCAGGATGATCTGCCAACATCTCTAAACATTTTTTTGTGGGAAGTAAAAGGGCCAGGTGGATGGATCCCTTGCTGTTTTGCTACCCGGGCAAGTATGCGATAATGACGCACTCGGAGCTCTCGAGAAATTCATATCTTCCTTCTATGTACGCAAGCCCAGCAGCTAGCATGAAATAATAATTCTACACCATAACATCAACATACCATGGTGGCGCACTCAAAATTTACACGACACGTCTAAATCGCGCTTTAGAATAGCTACGGGTGTCCCGGACATGTCATGAACTAACTACATCCAAGGGCTATATAGCTGGCAATGCAGAAAGAAGGTTTTAGATAGACATGGCGCATCCTTGCATACAAGACATACAAGAATGCTCGGGGATTGGCAAAATATAACAAAGGGATGAGGCCAATAGAGTCGCAAACGAGAGGACTGGTTCAACTCCGAACACCTCTATACCGAACTTAAGTTGACTTCAGAGTTACTAGTTGCTTTACACGGCTCTGATACATCAACTGAGTTGTATCATGCACAGTGAAGTTCCCCTAACGCCCAGGCCCACTCAGCGTGAGGATGGCCCTTTCAAATCCCCCTCACCACCACAACGCAGATTCAGATTTGGCAGAACCTATTCTGGTTCGTTGGCTGTACCCGGCAAAACTGGCGTGCTTCATTCCACCGCGCCTTTTTTTTTTTTTTTTTTTTGGCTCTTGGGGTGGTGCTATTTTCTCTCTCTCCTCCAGTAGGGGGTGGAAGTTGAAATAATGATGAAAGAACGATATGTACAATCAAAAGGGTTTTCTTTTCTTTTATTTATTTTATTTTTTTTGCGGGGGCGTAAATTTTCGTACAGTTGGCTAAACAAGGAGAGGGACGTGGAGGAAGAGGTAAAGAAAACGAGGAAGTAAAATAAGTTCGGGTGGGGACGGGGGGAAAAGGGGGATGGGATGAAAGAGGCGGAAAAAAAAAAAAAAAAAATAGTTAAAGAATGAAATGCAATGCGAGGAGGAGAATATAGAGTATTAGCTAGAGCACAAGAGAGCAGGGAATTATAACAAAATCATCATTTTAGATCATTACACCACCAATTTCCCTGAAGTGACGGAAACAAAAGAAAAAGAAAAGAAAAAGGAGAGAGATAAAGAAGATGAAGAGAAGATAAAGTATCACATCGGATTTCCCTTTTGTTTTCTGGTCTATCAGTAAGCTATTCGCTCTCCCATCATTCGTTTCATATCATTCTATCATATAAGAAAAGATCAGATTTGGACATTGTTAAGGAAAATGGCATGAGAGGAAAGGAGGAAGGGAAAAGAAGAAAAAACAAATCACAGGAACAAAAGAGAGAGAGAAAAGCAAGGAGAAATCCTCGAAACACCACGGAACAATAATATCAATCAATAATTATAAGGAAAATAGAAAACAGGGAAAGCGGTGGAAAAAAAAAAAAAAAGGCGCAACAAACTTCAAACCGTCCCAGCAATACTCAAATCCCTAATCTCCTGTAACACCTGTTCAACCCGATCATCCAAGTGACCCTGCGCATATTGCTCCCTCGTATCCGAATCCAGATACTGTTGCACCTGCGCCATACGCGAGTACGCCTCCGCGCAGAACCTTAGCTGGATCTTGACAAGCGCCTCGAACGACGGGTCCAGGTACGGCACACGCAAGTCGATGAGCTGCGGCAGCTCATTGAACAGCTGGTCGTTGAGCTGTTCGTACGCCTGCTTAGCCATCTCAGCCTCCTTTTCAGCACGAGGCAGCTTGGTGACGTCCTTGTCCGGCTTCTCGACGAGCTTCTTGACCTTGGCGCGCATGGCGTCGTAGTCGAGGAGTTTGTGGTTGCGCTTCTTGATGCACTCGTTGATATCTGGAAAGTATGCGCAGAAGCGGGATATGGGTTCCAGGACAGTGGTTCTGTGCAATATTACGGATTTAAGCGCTTTTTAGTTACGAGAGTTTGAAGAGTTGGGGTGAGGGGTTCTCTTCTTTTTGAAGATGTATTTCTCATACCTGTATGGTCCATCAAGCGCTTTGATCGTTTCGGCGTCAAGGTCCTCAACGGCTTGCTTGTAGCTGCTGCTCACACCATCCTTCGCGCCAGCATCGCCGTAAAACGCATCTATCGTTTCAGCAATGCGCATTTGCGACGCCGTCATGGCTGATATAACCTGGTTAGACCTAATTGGATTCATAGCTCTTGGGCTGGCGAGAAAATAAATGCGGTAACAAACCTCTCAACGAATCCAAATAGCCCTTCGCCTCCTTTTGTAACCGATTTACCGCAGATTCCATAGTTCGATAGCGTCTGTAGAAAAGGTGGGAAGGATCCATGTCAACAAACCAAGGTCCCTCGGCTTGAATTTACCTCAAACTAATTCAATAGAGGGAAGGAGAGGGATCCATACCTCTCTTCAATTTCATAATCTCGATCACTCGTCTTCTCCACATGTCCTACACATGAAAGCGGGTAAGTAACATATTAAGAAATGAGAAGAGTTTCAAAAAGGAATGAGGTATAAAACTTACCCGTCTTCATCATAACCTGCGTCGTCGCCCGATTGACATTTTTCTTAAAGCCTATTTCAAAGTGGGTAATAATTCCCCATCCAATTAGCAAAATTTGTTCACCCTTAGCACCAAGAAGGAAAAAGAGAAGTTAAAAAAAAAAAAATCTCAAACACCCTTCCTAGGCGTGCGAAGTTGGAGGATATCTGCACATATCACAATAATCCCTTGTGTGGTTACGTCACACAATACATTTCTACTTCCGCATATCTACCGCACTCCTTTCCCAAACAAAAATATCCACATATATCATCATCTCCATCAAAACCCCACCCCGCACCAGACAAAGGGGGGGAAAAAAGGACGAAACAAGGAAAAACATTGTTATATATACCACATACCAGCCCACGACATGATGACCAGCAGCGATATCAACCAACTCAATCAAAGGAAGATTGCTTTTGTGTTTCTCAAAACCTCCCCGGCGGGCCCAAGAAGTAAAATAAAACCAGGCAGCGACGCTAGTTTCGGAAAATTCGGCTTTCGAGATATCGGCGCGGGGAGGGGCCTGTGATCGATCGACAGACTTGTATTGTTTAACCCCGACTGAACCGACGACGGTGGAGGAGTGGGATGGCAAATGCGCAGGGAGCGGGGATATAAAATACCGTGGTGTATACGTCGGGATGGGTGTGTTTGTGTTGTGTGTTGGCTGTTTTACGGGAAGGGATTTGACAGATCCAAACAGTGGGGGAACGAAAGGCGGATTTTCAATTTCGAATTCCGATTCTCCCCTGGCCAAAGGGGGTTGTTGGGGGTGTGTTTCGATATAATTGACGATGATTGTCAAGGAATGAAGCAGCGAGACAAAACCAGAGTAGTGCCTGAAATGTTTTCGTGGTTGGCCAAGTTTGGCAGGGAGCTGGCAGAAAAGTCCGTTCAACGAATGAAATCTGAGAGAGACGGGATGGGCGGGTATCTATTTGTCGGTCTGGCGGCAAGATTGGCTGGGGAAAGGATTGAGCAGATGCAGCAGAAGAGAGAGGGTGGTGGTGGTGGTGAGAGGTGGATATGGATGTTGTATGAGATGCCAGCCAGCGCGGGAAATCCGCTGGAGGAAACACGGACATTGCCGGGTTCGGTTTAGTGTCAGCTTGGCGTGTCTAGGCCGCGGCTGCTGAGTCAGTCATGGCTGTGCCGCCGCAGCGCCACTTCTTTACGTCATGATCCAGGCGAATGAGACATTAGCCGTCATGACTCGGCGGTGCTGGAACATGCTTTGTGCTTCCTATCAACTTCCTATCAACTTCCCATCAACACAACAACAGCAGGGAAACCCTTTCCCTCCCTCCCTCTCTCCCTCCTCACCTCAATTTCAACAATAATCATCCAGCGTTTTCGCTGCTGGAGAGACAGAGCAGTTGAAAAAGTCAGGGGCTACTTTTTCTTGCTTGTGAGATAACCTGCTATATTTGAATACATGTGCATACATAATGCAAAAAAAGGAAGATAAATGCTATGCTATGCTCGAATCAAGAATAACACCCCTCCTCTTCACCTCACCCTTCCCCCCTCTCCCGGGCGGTGCAAGCCCCGGCGAAGGGAAATGCTATCGTAAATATTCTCATTTGCATTGAAGTTGATGCGGACACGAGCATGCTGAAGCTGATGACATGACGCAAGAAGAGCAGTGGCTTAAAAAAAAAAAGGGGGGGGGGGGAAGATAAGAAACTCGTTAAGGAAGAAAAACAAAGCCAAAAACGAAAATGAAATAGATAAAGGGGGAAAAAGGAGGGGGAAGGGGAAGAAGTATTGTAAAATTTATGTATGTATATATATATATCATCTTCGTCGCCGTCGTCATCGCCATCATGAACATCATCAGAGGAAAAAAAAAAAAAAAACAGAAATCCAACAAAGCCCCGCCTCCTTCTATGGGAGTTAATTTAACAACAAGGACATAATAAAATCAAAAAAATCAAAACAAAGAAACAATAACCGTCCCGCCCACCCACCATATCACATTATTTCATCCGTTCGTTCACAAGGTGTTGTTGTTCTCCTTTTCGCCTTGCGGACAACAAAAAAGAGGAGTAGGAGGAGGACAAGTCAAGCCATAGATCTGTACAAGCCCACCTCAATGGAAGCAAAGTAATTTTGGCCCATTTTGAGGGAAGCGGGAGACCCAACTGGGGGAACCCAAGTCAAGCACAATGGGAAGAGGAGAAGAGAAACTTAACAGAACATAATAAATAGGAAGGAAAGGAAAGGAATGAGAAGAGAGAGGAGGGGGGGTGAAGGGGGGGAAGGAGTTAAGATAGATAAGAGAGAAGTTCCAAGAGATCTTCAGACCCATCGACCCAATCTCTCCCATTTGTTACTTCGATTCGGTATATTCATATACATACACACATATATACGAGTGGCAAATAGGGGGGGAAGAAGGGATGGTATGAAATAAAAGTAAAAGTAAATAAAGGTAATATTAAAAACCTAAAAGACAAAAAGGATGTAAGTAAAGTAAAGTAAAGAGAAGCAAAGAAGGAGAAGGAAAAAAGAAAGAAGAAAAACTTCATAAAATAAAAGCCGTTCTCATGGGGGGAAAAACACAGCTGTGGGACTATGCTTGTTGTATCTTTGCTTTGGCATGCTTGTTTCATTCGCTTGCTTCCCAAGGTTTGCTTGCTTTTTAATTTATTATTTCTAAATCCCCTCCTCTCCCGCCTTGCAAATTCGGATCTCTCGGACCCATTCAGACTTCAGGACCTGGGAGGCCGTGATGCGGCGCGTAGGGTTTGGATCGAGGATGGAATATATCACGTTTCGACAGCGGGCCTTGATACAGTCAGGCAAGATGAAACGATTGTAAATACGGAGGGAAAGGAAAGAAAAGAAAGAGAAGAGAAGAGATAAGAAGAGAAGACCAAAAATACTCACCCGATGCAACGTCTCAATCGGCGCATAGCCATCCTCATCCCTCCTGCCTTCCAGATACCGGTCGTAGAACTCATCCTCGTCCCGCTGCGCGACACGCCAGAGATGTCTCCCCGTCCTCATCGCCATGTAAATGACGCCCGTCGCCCACACGTCGACGGCGCGCGGGTCAAATTCCTTATCGACATATTCCTCCGGCGCGATGTAGGGGGCCGAGCCGCAGAGGCCGGCGGTCATATGCGCTTCCTTTTCCCACGCCATGCGGAAACACTCGCCGTTGCCGAAGTCGGTGATCTTGAGGGCGCCGTGGGTCGTCAGGAGGAGGTTCTCGGGCTTGAGGTCGCGATGTGCCACGCCCATTTCATGCATGTACTCGACGCCGCGCATCAGCTGTTTGAACGTAGCAGTCGGCCTCGCCGACCTCGAGCTTCCCTGCGGCGAGGACCAAAGTGAACAGATCGCCG